TCCTCATGAAAGCCCTATGAGTCAAGGCACCATGATTCATTCCCATTTTATAGCTGAGGAAGAGTTTAAGTATTTTGACCAGGTTGCTAGGTGACTAAGTGGTAGAGTTCGCATCTGAACTCAGAACTGACCACCTAATGGCTGGGCTTGAGTTTGTGGGGGCACTGACTGCCCACCCCTGGTGTGATTCTAGCCCAAACTGGGTGCCAGCAGGGATGGGGTGATAGCTGCCCAGGACGCGAGTTCTCTGGGCTTGCTGGAAGACATTGTCATCAGTGAGGCCTCGTCCAGGCCTTCACAACAGAAGCCTTCCTCCCAGTGCTCTTGGCGAGTGGAAACCTATTTGCTGTTCCTGCATTCCAGTGTGTGGCTGGTGTACCAGGAGTGTTAGCTTAGGGTGGGCTTCCCAGAACTTGTTCTGTCACTCTTCCTCCAGCAGCTTCTCCAGGCTTGAGCCTGGGGAGGTGACTGCCCTCCTATAGCACTGCTGACAGGACTGGAGGAGCTGCTGATCTCCAGGAGCTTTGGTGTTTCCTGGAAACCTGGTGTCTCCCTGTGCCCAGCGCCAGGCCCTTCCACCTCCTTTTTTGGCTTAGGAGCATGGTGTGACCTGATACTCAGTAGGGCATGCCAAGTGATAAATGGCTTTTCTACCAGTTGAGCTGAGGCTTGGCATGGCCGTCTGTTCCCAGTGGATGTTTAGGGGAGCGATGAGCAGTGACCTGGCTGTTTAGGCCTCTCTGTGTTGGTGATCCCAGTGCCAGGCTGACAAGGCGTCTGCCTCTGCCCGGCACCACATGCTGACCTTCTGGTTGCTTGTGGAAATGTGGAGAATGAATGTGCTGTCACCTGGGAGGTGGTGCAGCTGTCCCCCGCCCCCAATTATGCTTTTCAAAATAGTTGCATCTTTCTAGTCTCTTAGGTTACATATGAGAGATTTTGACCAGAGATTTGAACTGCATGCTTTATTTTGAACAACAAGGTCCAGCTTGAGAACCCCTTAGCCTGAAACAACCTCAGTCATTGTTGGACTTGGGTGCCTCTGGAAGTGGCATGACAGAACTAATGAAAAGTAAAAGAAGGCCAAGAATTGAACACAAATATATTCATTATCCTGGAGTTTTGATCTTGTAAGTGTGGGATATGATACAATCTTTTTAAAAGATCATGTAAAAGGAAGCTAGTAAGTGACTCAAAATAAGAAAATGAAAAAGCCAGCTGCCTCATGATAGGCACTAGGTTCTGGTGGGCTGCGATACCATTTCCAGAGACAGCGTCCTCCAGCAATTCCCTGCTGTATCCAGAACATCTTAACTGGATGATGAGGATGAAGTGCTCTGGAAAGCTGCTCTGGATGGCTCAACAGGACTTGGGTTGATAATGGTTTTAATGTTGAGGCTGCACAGGCAGTTTGAGAAGAAATCATTTTCTAAGCTGGGTATTGGAAAGGGTATTTTATAATAATAGGAATTTTCATTTTAAATACGTATATAATAGATCAATAAATTAATCAAAGTTACAAATAGTGATTTGACTGTTACCCTCAGCCCTAAAAATCATACAATCAAGAAGGGGCAAGACATTGTTTCTTCTCATTGGCAGTTGCCTTCATTGCTCGTGATTCTGTTGGTTGTGTGGTGATTCTTCCTGCAGCCTGTGAGGTGGGGAAGTTTGCAAGGGGGGAGGAATGCATTGAGGGGAGGTGTTTTCTCTGCCTGTCCCCTTTTTTCCATCTTTCCTTTATTCTTGGTCCTCTGCCTTCTGCCGGGTGCCAGACCCAGGACTGAGCTGTGGGCTTCAGAGTGTGCTGGCCTCGCGCCTGGCCTCCAGAGATCAGGGCTGCAAACCTGACACTGGGAGGCGGGGTGTTTGCATTCATATTTGAAGTGTCTGTGCTTTGCTTCTTGCTGCAGAAAGTATATTCCATGGAACATATTAATTCATCTTTAAGTAGATTTATGATATGAAATATTCATTGGCATCAACTTCACAGACAGCATTTGGAACAATGTACTAAGGACAGTTTGTCCTCATAAATCTATTAATGCTGAAGGGATGTGATTGTCTCCTGTGAAGCTTTGGGGAGAAATGAGGGCCTAGGTAGGGGAAGAAGCTGGCTGCTGATGTCTCTCTATCTCCCCTAGCTTGGCTGTGACAGGCCAGCCCAGCTCCGAATGAGTGAGTGAGTGTGTTTGGTGTACATTTCCATTCTCCTTGCCTTTTTATTCATTATACAGATGCTTCTATTTCTGAGAGATCCCTCTCGTCAGCTTCCAGCTTCTTGTCAAATTCCAGCTTCCTGCAGTGGTTTGGAGGTATAATGAGGCTCAGGGGGAAAAGCTGGCTCATGAGTGAAGACTGATCTGTCACGAGAGGGGGATCAGGGGACTGAGGGAGGGGGACAAGGCAGGATGTTGCCGCTGAGAAATAAGTGCAGTGTGCAAGCCCTGAGCTGAGTGCTTTATCTGCTTGTTCCGGGTGGCTCTAAGTAGAAGTTGATTTCTGTTGGAGACTCAGAGAGGTCTAGTCACTTGTTCACAGTGAAGTTCATTATGTTCAATGCACCTGTGCTGGTGGCCATAGTGTGTCTAGGGGCCGGGCCCAGAGCAATCCTGTGGCTGTCTGCCCCATCCAGCAGATGTAGCTCCTCCTCCTGTGGAGGAGCCAGGGGTGATGTGGGGTACAGAGGAGTGTGTGAGGGATTGTGGGAGGCTGGAGTAGGTGTCCCAGCAAAGTTGGATGACTAGATAGGGATTAACCAGGCAGAGGGTGGTTGGGAGGGAGAGTTGGGCTGGGGGAAGTAATTCTAGATGGTACCGTCACAAAATTACAAGAACACAGGACACCAGCGTGTGGTGGGCAGGGAGGACTGTCCAGTTATGCACAGTCCCCAGAGGAGGGGAGGCCACTGTGGCAGCATTTTTTATCTGGGGAATTTGGACTAATGGAGGGCAGTGAGGACACTTCAGAGGTCTTGAAACCACGGAGAGAGAGAAATGCACCTGTATATTTGGCAGATTGCTCTAGGGGTATGACAGAGGCTGGGTTGGAGAGGTGGAGGCAGGAGGGGCGGAAACCTGTCAGGGCTTGTGATCTGCCTGCAGTCAGAAGTCCTGGGGCCGATGAGGGGAGCAGATGGGGTGCAGGTGGCAAAGGATATAATTTGGGGTCTGTGTTGGGAAAGCACAGAACTGGTCTAGATTCCCCATCTCAAGCTAAGAGGTCACCAAAAAAGAAAAAGGCAGAGTAAACAAAAAAAGCAGTCAGAAAAAGATTAAAGAAAACAAGCACATTAGAAATGCCAAGAAATTTTTTGAAAGGCTTTTATAAATAGAGACAATATTTAAAGAGTTACAGTTAGGGAATGAAGATTCACACCATATAAAAGTTGTTCTAGGCTTAATAGTGTTTTAGAAATTTATCTAGACCTAAGGACAAAAGCAAACTTAAGTGCATTAAGACAAAAACAGGTTTCTGGCCAAAAGCAGAACCAAAGTCAGGAAAAGCTGAAAGTGGTTTTCCACCATTGCAGGGCCCCGAGAGGTGGTGATTTTGATGGTCGGGTCACTGAAGGTTCCGGAAGTGCCGACTGGGCAGGGGGCTCATGTGACTGGCCTGGGAAGGAACCTGGCTGAGTACAGGGGAAAGGCACAGGCAGATGCCCAGGTGGAACCTTCCTCTCAGTTGCTCCTTCGGCAACCCCCACGCCTGCCTTTTTTCCTGCTGGAAGGACCATTGAGGGGGAAGTGCAGTCTGGGTCTGTGTGGTGTCTCCTTCACTGTTGGTGCCCTTGTCCGGTAGGTTCTTGGCCCTGGAGTGAATGAGCTGGTGGCTGAGCAGCATGTCCTGTTGTGTTAGCTACAGGGAAGAGGGAGGTGGAGGGTCCTCAGAGAAGGCTGAGGAAGGAGGAGGAGGAAGAGCCAGGCTTCTGATACAAGCTGTATTTATTGAGTAATTTCGTGTGCAGTGGAATGTTCTACAGTAGATGCTGTGGGGCTCACGGAGTAACAGGGAAACGTGTGAGACGTGGGGATTGAATGGTAATTTGATACCTTGTAGAGTCTGGGGCTCCATGTGGGGATGCATTTATAACCCAGACTAATGTCAAACAAGGAAAACCAAGCCTTTCGGGTCCTATCAGTGCTCTTGTCTACGCCAGTCACCGGTCGTGCTTATGGTGCCCCTCCCCCCCTCCATTGTTGCTGTCAAGGAAGGAGGATGCATTTATAGTAAAAGCGTGTAGGACTTGGAATCTGGAGACTGGGGTTTAAGTTCTGCCTCTGCCCCTATCAGTGTAGGCTCCGAGCATCTGCTTTCTCATTTGTAACCTGGAGCTATAACAGTGGTGTGCCCTTGCTGAAGCAGGGCTCCATGTGTGCAGGAGAGGGCTTCATGGCCTGCAGAGCTCTGTTCAGCAGCTGGTGACATCTTTAGACTCTGTGTTTTGAGGAAAGTGGAACCTGGCTATTCCTTACACCTCTCACATATCTCAGTTAACTTGACTGAGTTAATGAAGGAGTTTTTTTTGCCACTCTAAGCATTTTCCAGTAGCCAGAGGCTCTCATTATTCACCCACTTGACAAGGAAAGTGGAGCACCTGCTTGGCTGGCATGTAGTTGCCACCAGCAGTGGCGGAGCTGGGGTCAGCTGCCGTCACTCAGACTTGCTGATGAGTCTGAATTTTAGGACTAGACATTTTTAACGGTTTCCAGTTTCAGGATGGCCCAGCTTGAAGTTCAAAAGTAAAAGGCAGACTGGGGGCTACTTTCACTCCTGGTCCTAACTCCCATTTCTCTCCCTCACACCCCCCCAAATGCATATCCACACACCCCTCACTCACACAGTTCCTAGTCCCGGGGCCAACCCCTGCTGGCTCCTGACTCTCACTGGCACCCCCAGCTCGTGCTCCCAGGGCATTGTCAGTTTCCCCTTTGGGAGCCCACGTGGGTGCTGGGTTGCCTTGCCCTTTGCTCACCTGTGGTTTCCTCTGCCTGTTGTAGGTTGTCTTCCACGATGTCTCTGTGCTGACAGACAAGCTCTTCCCCGTGGTGGAGGCCATGCAGAAGCACTTCAGTGCCGGCTCGGGGAGCTACTACAGCGACTCCATCTTCTTCCTCTCAGTCGCCATGCATCAGATCATGCCCAAAGGTAAACTAGATGGCCACGGGCAGCACCCCTGGAGTTGACTTTTCCAGGCTCTGAAATCGCTATGCCTTGTATCAGAGAGAAGAGTTCTGTTGAAACACAAGGGAGAGGGAGTGGGTGCCAGGGTGTCCTTTGTGTGACAGAGTTTACCACACAGAGTCCCGGGCAAGCCCGGGGCCGCATGCTTCCGGGGCCTATTCGCCAGGATGCAGCCGAGTTATGCTCTGTGCTGTCTCTGGACTCAGGGCATCTGGGCTCAGCCATGATGCTGTCCCTGGCGTGCACCCCCTTTGGTCTCAGTTTGCTCATCTGTAAAATGGTTGGTTGGACTAGATGGCTCTCCATCCAAATTATTATCTTATGCTTTCGTTCTTTCTAGTTTAAACCTGTACATTTCTAACTTTAAAATATCTCTCTAGATATAACAGGTGCAAACTGACTGAACTGGACTTTTTTTTTTTGAAACTCTGATGTACAATTAAAGGATTTCCTGGGCTTTGGTCCCGTCAGGGAGAAGGACACTTTTTCCTGGTCTTTGGTAGGTTGGGCTGGTGTGGAAGTGCTGGCAGGTCTCGCTATCCTTGGATTGGAAGCTTAGGGGTGAGAGAAGCTTGTGTTCCCCTGAGTTATGTCTGGTGTTTGCCCCAGAAATCCAGGTTATTTCTCTGCATCAAAGCCCGTCCCTTCTTCCACATTCTGTAGCAGGAGGGTTTCCTTTCTGTGCCTGAGCCATCTTTAAAGTATGTATACTCCTTTTTCTATTTAAAAGTAATATCTATTAAAAAAAATCTGAAAGCTACATTAAAATACAAAACTATTGTCCCTTTACTACCACATAAAAATCATCACCATTTATTCTGTTGTAGAGCTTTTTAAAAATGGAAGCAAAATAGGAGTTATACTATATATTTAAGGTATTCTGAGTCTTTTTTATGTATATCAAAATGTGAAATGGAACCATCATTTAAATACCTAATGAAGGACATGGCACAGGGAAAACTGTCTGATGACTTTCAGTTAATGTCACTCATCACCATTTTCTGTGCAATCACAGGCTTTGAAATTTTATTGAATGATTCCTTTGAAGTGGATGAACCTTAGTTCACTGTATCATTTTCCTGTTCTCAGCTTCCTAGATGCTTTCTAGTTTTTTCGACCATAAATTTTACTGTGCTAAATATCCACATGCATAAAGATTCTTTTCTCTCATTAACATTATTTCTACCCGGGCAAGCCCGGGGCCGCATGCTTCCGGGGCCTATTTGCCAGGATGCAGCCGAGTTGTGCTCTGTGCTGTCTCTGGACTCAGTGCATCTGGGCTCAGCCCTGATGCTGTCCCTGGCGTGCACCCCCTGGGGTCTCAGTTTGCTCATCTGTAAAATGGTTGGTTGGACTAGATGGCTCTCCATCCAAATTATTACGTTGTTCTTTCGTTCTTTCTAGTTTAAACCTGTACCTATCTAACTTTAAAATATCACTCTAGATATAACAGGTGCAAATTGACTGAACTAGACTTTTTTTTTTTTTTTTTTGAAACTCTGATGTACAATTAAAGGATTTCCTGGGCTTTGGTCCCTTCAGGGAGAAGGACACTTTTTTGGTCCCTTCAGGGAGAAGGACACTGTGCGGCAAGCTCTGCCACACAAAGGACACCCTGGCACCCGCTCCCTCTTCCTTGTGTTTCAACAGAACTCTTCTCTCTGATACAAGGCATGGCGGTTTCAGAGCCTGGAAAAGTCAACTACAGGGGTGCTGCCCGGGTAGAAATAGTGGGCCAAAGGGTAGAAATAGTGGGCCAAAGGGTAGAATTATAGAATTACTGGGCCAAAGGTGATTCTTCCAAAGTCAATATGTATGAACCCCCTGCCCCCGAACTGTGTCTAGTGTCCTTAGCTTGCACTTGCACTTGGGAGAGGCTAACAGATGTCTGACCTCTTGTAGGGGCCTCAGGCAGCCACATAGAAGCTTCAGGACAGTTGTTGTCACCACTTAACAGGAGAGGAAGTGAGAAGCTGAGGTCAGGCCAGTTTTCCACATTCTAGTGCAAGCTGGGCCTCCTTCCCTGGTTTCTGACTCCTTGGCCATTGCTCATTCTGTTGTCCAGAGCTGGATGTCCAGCCCCTTACACCCACACAGCCCCCAGTGGCTTACGTAATCATCTTCTCTCTCCATCTTGGCCCCTGTCTGTGCCCTGAGCAGGGGGCCTGTGCAGGGTAGGTAGGTTGTGGTCAACCCAGTGCGTTTATTTCCCCTGGACTAGCACTGCCCAGACCACATCTGCAGGGTGCTAGACAAAGGGGCCCTGCAGGTAGGACATTCCAGCTCAAATTTTGGTCAGACCTTGTTTTTCTCAATGTTGCTTGCTTGAGGGGGGCGTGTGTGACCAGTTCTGCTGCTCACACTTGCCTGCCCATGTGTCCAACACAGGCACACAGTCCCCTCTGTTCCTCACTCACGCCCTTAGGGCTTTTATCTCCTTCTGTCTGTGGAGTTAGGTTTGTCACCATTGGCAGCATCTAACACAATGGAAAAGAAACCATTTTTTTATCCAACTGGCGCAAGATGGAATGGAGAACAGCTCCATAAGGATTAACAGCTCCCTTCTCCCATGTCCCAGGGCTCTAAGGACCTGTTTGCTCTGATTTGGTGACAAGGGGCCTAGAAACAGTCCCTTACAGAGACTGAGCTCTATGCCTGGTCCATGGTTGTGGGGGGCTTCTCCCTGCACAGGGAAGGCAGGTGCAGTACATGAGGCTGGCCAAAGCCCACACACTTTTCTGGAAGACTCTGTCTTATGGTCAAGCTTTTGACAATAGTCCTATGTTTGCATGACATGGTGCTGCCTATCCTGGGTATCTCGGAGGTATTTGCTGGGTTGCTATTTCATGAGCTCACAGGGGGTGGCATTTTCCAGCAACTGGGCAGTACATCATGAGGGCTACAGGGGAGAACCACTCAGTGCTAAGAGTTTAGAAAAGAATGAGTCACAAACATTTGGCAGGAAGGAAAAGGGCTCCACAGAGGAGGAGGTATTTGAGGGGGGTGTGTCCTAGCCCAGGTTCACAGGCAAGATGAAAAGAATGGAGAAAGGACCAAAAACCTGCACACTGTGGACAAAATCAAAATGGAAAAATCCAACTGGGCGCTCTCATTCAGTCATTCATTCATTCAATCATTCATTCATGCTTCAAAACACAGTTTGCAGCTTTTTGCAGAAAGCCATTAAAATTCCATCTCCTTTTTCCCTTTAGTGAAATTTGAGAAATATAGTAAAAGCCATATTCAGTTTGGATTTCTTTGCTCTCTGTTTTTTGTATTTTTACTCACTGCCGTGGGAGTTCTTATATGCTCTCTACTGTGCTTTCTTGGCAGTCTCATAAAACAGAGAAGGCTTTTAAGGCCAGTGTATGGAACTTCATTACTTTGTTCTGTTTGAAACCAAATCAAGAAGCTAATTAAAATAATCAATGTTTAATTACCCATCAGTGAAGCAGACAAGGATCTTATGGGAGGGGTGTTACAGGGGGATGTATATGCATTCTGGAACCTGGAATGTGGTAGAGAAGGGTTGAGGGTCCTGGGTGGTCTCTACTCTACCCCATCAGCCTCAATATCAGGAGAAAGCAGAAACAAAGGAACCCTCTAAACTCATCGATAATGTTTCACTTGGTTTGCCAGACTCTGAAATCCTAATGTGGCAGGGTTGGCTTCCATGTGCTGTACCCACAGTTAGTTCTATGGTCTCTGCTTATAGCAGGGCGGGAATGGCCAGAGGACAGATGGGGGGGGTGGTTTAGTGTGAACATGGGGTCAGCAGGCCTGGGAGTAAGTTCACACTCTGCCTGTGACTGTCTGTCTGTCTGATGTAGGGAGAGGGAGAGCTGATGTCGTTTCCTGACTCCTCACCACAGGGGGTGAGACAGATCCGAATCTGCACCCCTGTTCACTGGTAGGCAGGGTCACTGTGTGAAAAGTCACATGCACATGGGTGACTGGCCTTCTCTCTCTTGGAGTTTCTTCTCCCTCCTGACACACAGGAAGTGGCTCACTGAAGCAGCGCCGGGGAAGGGGCACCTTTTCTTTCTCTCTTTACCTCTCAAGCTTACCAGCTGGAGGAGGGCCATGTCCTGCTGAGACTTGGGCCTAGGCCACATTCTCCAACCTGGGCTGAATAGCCTAACTTTTCTGAGCCTCCATGTTTTCTTTAGAAAACTGGGGTGGCATTGTAGGTTGGATGAAGACTGAAGGAGATGGTATATGAAGAGTCATAATGCCTGGCACGTCGAGACGCCCAGTTCTAGATGTTAGTGCCTTTCTCCTCAGAGGGTTAAGTACATGGCAGCAAATCAAAAACTCTGACAAATACTGAGGTAAAAAAAAAGTTTTGCTTTGTTTAGCCCAACATCTCTCAGTTTATCACAGAATACTTTTTCAAGGAATACCTACTCACATTCTGAAATAGGCTTGTTTCACTAAGCTCCCTTTAAGAAATGTTGCCCTAAAATCAGAGTAATTCATAGACAACACTTGTGCAGCTTTCTGTTGGTGCGGTGAGGCCAAGAAGCCTCAGTTTTCAGAGAAAGTTCCTCCTGTCAGTGTGTCCTTCCTCTTCTCACTCATGGAGCTTGTTAGCGAGTGTGTTATTTCCATTATTCACTTGCTTTGTTGCTTACACCTTCACCACCTCCTGAATGGATTTGAAGTAGCCTTGGGCATGCCCAGGTTTGCCTCAGACCCAGAAGCTTAGGAAGGCTTGTCCCAGATCATGAAACATGAGACACAATGGTTCAGAAGGAGAGAGATGTGTGTGTGGTGCCACTCTGCTGGCAGGGCACCCTGGGGGTACTGACAAGCTGGAGTGACCCACAGGGCGGCCAGGGATCCTGAAAGCCAGCCCTAAAGTAACTTGGGCCACATGCCGGAGCTGACTCACTGCCTTCTACAGGGCCTTCTGAAAAGAAGAAGCAGCCTGTTCGGTGTGTCTCCAAAAGGTCACACCAGGT